CCAGACGGGGCCCCTCGGCGCGCCACTTCGGCTACGCGCCTAATGCCGCTTCGGGCGCGCCTAACGGGGGCTGCTGGCTCGCCCCTGGCCCTCAGGAGATTGTTGCTCCTAGCCACTTTGCGGCCTCTCGCCCCCTGGATGATCGCCGCCCCCCCTGGCCCGCCTTAGGCGCTGCCCAAGAGCCTTGGTCCCCCCTCCTGCGGTGTGGCCCGTACTGCTAGGTCCCTCGCGGCTGCAGGCCTCGCAGCCTGACGCAGCACGCTACCCTCACCAGCCCCTTCGGGGTCGCTCCCTCACCGCCACGCGACTGTCTGTCCGCCCCTTGCCCGCCCCCCGCCCGCCTCCTGGCCCCCGTCCCCCACGGCTTCGGCACTCCACTTTGCGGCTGCCAGCGGCTTTCCCCACGCCCGTCCCCCGCCCGCCTCCTGGCCTCCGTCTCCCGCGCCCGCCCCCCTCCGCCCCCCGCCCGCCCCCAGGCCCCCGTCCCCCGCGCCCGCCCCCCGCGTATCTCCAATTCTGCGCGACTGTCAGTCGCTCCACCCGCCGGCACCTCCCCCTCCCGGTCCTCGATGTCCCCCCCGGGACGTCGCGGCCGGCGCCGGCATCCCCCCGCTGCGGCGTGGGCCTCCTCGGGCCCGCGCCGTCGCCGCCGCCTGCCCCCTTGGCTGGCGGACGCCGCCCGCACGTCCAGCGGCGTCGGGCCTGCGCTTCCCATACAACTGTCGAGCCCCGTCCCCGCGTGCGTGGTGTCTCGTGGCGCGGCGCTCTGCCGCCTCGCTGTGGGTGTACTGCCTTCTGCCGCCCCCGACGTGTCGTCGTCGGCGTGGCTGTCGACCCCCCGCCGCGGCGCTCGCCCTGCCTTCCTTTCGCGCTTTTAGTGGTCGTCGAGTGCTTGCACGCCGCCTGACTTGACTTGGGGTTCCTCCCGATCACTGGTCACGTGTAATTCACTTCGCCATTTTGGTGTGCATCGAGGCCTTCTTCCTGGGCCTCCTCGGCTTCGGCGTGTTCCGCGTGGTCTTCAGCGTCGGTTTCGCCTGTTACTTAGGGCCTAATTTTGAGCTTGGCGCGGCTGCCCCTTCTCTTGACGGCGCGCGGTTGGACCGCGACGCTCGCGGAGCAACATGGGGGACAGTCGATATTGTTCGAGGAGGAGGAGGAAGAGCAGGAGGAGGAGGAGGAGAAGGAGGAGGAAGGATGATGTATGGGGGAAGGATGACGATTAATGTGCAGATGATGATGATGATGATGATGATGATGATGATGATGATGATGATGATGATGATGATGATGATGATGATGATGATGATGATGATGATGATGGTGATGGTGATGGTGATGGTGATGGTGATGGTGATGGTGATGGTGATGATGATGATGATGATGACGATGATGATGATGGTGATAATGGTGATGATGATTGGTGATGATGCGATGATTAGGATGAGGATGATGAGGATGAGGATGAGGATGAGGATGAGGATGATGAGGATGCTAATGATAATGATAATGAAATGATGATGATGATGATGATGATGATGATGATGATGATGATGATAATGATAATGATAATGATGATGATGATGATGATGATGATGATGATGATGATGATGATAAGAAGGAGGAGGAGGAGGAGGAGGAGGAGGAGTGGGAGGAGGAGGGAGGAGGAGGAAAAAGAGGCAAAGGAGGAGACGGAAGAGTAAGAGGTGGAGGTTGAGGGCGGGCAAAAAGGATTATGCGCGATGGAGGGGGAAAAGGAAGTGGATGAGGAGGGGGAGAAGGAGGAGGAGGAGGAGGAGGAGGGGAAGGAGGGGGAGGGGAAGGAGGAGGACATGGGCGAACAGAAGAGCCAAAAACCACAGGAATGCCTTTCAGAGTCTCCTCGGACGTCTCTCGGAAGCTTGTTGGAGGCCTCCTAAGGGCATCCGGGTGGCATCTTTGGCGGGCCCAGGACCGTCTCTGAGCGTCTTGGGTGCTTCGGGGATCCTCTCGAGGCCCTTCGGGGTCTCTTGGATTGGGCAACGTGCAAGAACGACTCGGGCGTCTTGAATCAAGGGCGGCTTCGGGGGCTCAGAGGGCGGCATCCGGTTCGCCGAGGGCCTCCACGGGTGCCGACCGAGGTTCGGGCAGACGTGAGGAGGCCCTCTTCGACGCGCTGCTCGACGATGTTGTACACGACCCTTTGCACGGGCAGCAGCATGTGCTCCATTGCGTGGACAGCTCCTGGCTGGTCCTCTCTGCAGATGTCCGAGAAAGAGGAGATCACGCGTGGGGGCTCCGCGGCGCTGCGCCTGCGCAGGGCGCGCCTGACTCGGTGTTGGGCCGTCACGGGGCCCTCCTTGGGCCCTTCTGGGCCCTCTACGCGAAGCATCTCGGGAACCTGCCGGGATTCGCTGGTCAACGGGCGGTGCGATTCACGTCGTGGGTGTGCCGATGGCGACGGACGCGGCGCGCGCCCATCGGGGCTGCCCGCACCTGTTCGCGCGCATTTGGGCGTCATGCGATGCGACCGACATGTCTGACCCGCCAGAAACCCGCTGTTGACCCGCCCGCCATTGAATGAAACCAGCGCGGCTGCGCGCCGCTACAAGCAGTAGGAGGATCAAAGGAGACCGGGCTGAACACAGCGGAGCGCTCGTTTCGACATCGCGGGCGAGCAACTTCGCGCCGCGCCGGTTCGCGGCGAAAGCCTGGCATGAGCTGCATGCACGAAACAACGCCCTGGCTCCAGATGCTCTCCCCTGGCCGGTGCGTTCCGAAGACGAGCACGAGGGGGCGTGCCAGAGGTGCTCTCGTTGCAGTCTTCATGCAGTGGTTACCCTTTTCTGCTCGTGGGCAATTTGCTCGCTGAGCGCAGTCATGACTCCCCGGAGGCCGACGATTCGCTGCCTGGACTCCATGCGATATGATGCTTGAGATACGTGCAGAACTCCAGGAGTCTAAATTTCGCGCGCGAGTCTGCAGATGTGCTCTGGAACACGTGTTGGGCCGTGCGAGCACAGAGTGCGGATCGTGTCGGAGCCAGATCGGTGGCGCGTTCTGGGGAAACCAGCGGGGGCGAAGGCCTTCCATCGAGCGGCAGGGCCTCTGCCGAATATCACGCTAAAAGGATGGGCCGGCTTACCACCACCACCACCATAACTTGGAGGGGAGAAGGAGGTGGAGGACAAGGAGGAGGAGGACAATGAGGAGGAGGAGGAGGAGGAGGAGGAGGAGGAGGAGGATAAGGAGGAGGAGGAGGAGGAGGAGGAGGAGGAGGAGGGGGAGGGGAAGGAGGAGGAGGAGGAGGAGGAGGAGCCCCTCCCCCTCCAACTTGTGGTGGTGGTGGTGGTGGAAACCAGGCCCATCCTAAAGCGCACGCTGCCGGATGTCCAGGTAAAACGAGACGAGCGGGGAGGCGGGAGGATCGTCGACGCGGCCAGGCAGCCCGAGGACCAGAGGGGAGAGCACGCCGGCGGAAGGGGATCGACGCGCGGGGGTCGACGCGGGAGGGAGGGAGGGGGGGGGGCGAGCGTGCGGGGAGGGGGGAAACGCAGAGCACGTGCAGTGATAGGGGGAACGGAGGAGGGACTCCTCATCTTGTCCAGCCGATCCTCGGCGACGCGCACCGAAGGGGTATGGAGGGAGGGCTGGACGTTTCTTAGATAGGGAGCCCACAAAGGACGTACGCTCCCAGCTATGTACATGAACACGGCCCCTCGATCTGCGAGACCGGCCGCGTGATACGAACTTTCGGGAGATGCGTACTCTCGAAACCAGCGTGGATTCATGTACGTGTACGTCTTTCTTTCGCTCCTGATTAGAGAAGGGGGTTGCTCCTTAGAAAGTGCGGGCCTTGCATCTATAGATCAGGCCCGCGACTTTCCGAAGCAGGATGCTTCCAAGAACCAGCCCCACGCCGCACGTGACCGACATACCTCGCGAGGGCCTCCTGGGCTCGCCACGGAGCCTCCTGAGGGCGTCCTGGGGCGGGAAAGGTCAGAGCTTCGATTCGCGTTCCTTGTCTTGGGCCCCTCCGGGGGGCCGTTTTTGGGCCTCTCGAGGGCCTCCTGGGCCGTCCTGGGGCGGTTCTCGGGGCCTCTGGGGGCCGGCCGGGACCGTCGGGGAGCCGAGAAGGCGAGAACGCCAAAATCTCTCAAACATCGAAGGAACAATTTCCGCCTGCCTTCGTTTCACTCTCCTCCTCCTCCTCCTCGTCCTCCTCCTCCTCCTCCTCACCCTCCTCCTCGTCCTCCTCCTCCTTCTTCTCCTCCTCCTCGAAAGGCAGGCGAGAACGCCAAAATCTGTCAAAAGGCGAGGCCTGAGACAGATGGCGGCGGCGGGCGGCGTCCTCCGGCGTGGGCTTGGCGGTGGCCGCGCCGTGCAGAGCGGCCAGGGCCTCCAGCGCCTTCACGCGCCTCGCCAGCAGCTGGAGAGGCGCCTGGCTCGCGAGAGCGGGAGGGAGGAGGAGGGGGGGGCCAGGGGAGAAGGCAGGAGGGAAGGGCGGAGTGGAGTAGAGTTCGGCGCGGGCGCAGGACTGTCTCGATAAGCCCATGAAGGTGCGCTCGGCCGCCAGGCCTCCTTTTCGAATTGGCTGAGGACCTTGGGCGTTCAACCAGCCACAAGTCAGTCGAGGTATTCCCGCTGGGTTCTATCCGTCTGCTTACGACAACGTCTCCCCAAGAGGCGATTTTACGTTTCGGCGATGGCGACGAACTGAATGCAAAATCAGATCCGGAAGGTCGTGTGAACAGTGAGGGCGTGGGTGGGGTGAGCCCACCCACCCCATGTGGATGCGATCCCCCTTCTTAGGGGATAGAATGATACCATCTACGTTGTATAACTGCGGGTACGAAGTGGCCCACAACGTTTTCACGCACGCTCTACTGGCAGACCCGAGACACTGCAAACAATGCTGCTTGTCATCACTTACGACGTGGAAGGGAGAAAGGGGCGGACACGGCAGCAGCGGAAGGAGGCGGAGGCAGCAGGGGAGCAGCAGCAGCAGGGCGAACTTCTTCCTTGGTCCCTCGGCTGCCTCGGTGGCCGCCATGCTGTCGATGGCCGCCCTGAAGAGACGATGCATGGCCAGAAAAGCTCGCCTCTCGTGCAAGCGAATACGAAACCTGTCCTCATCAAGCACTGACGGTCGCGGACGAGCTTGCTTGTCTGCCGCCAGATGTCCGCGCCGTCTCCCCACGGGCACATGTACTTCTTGGCGTGCCAGCCTGCGGCCGCCATATCGCAAGTCCGCGACGTAGGTGAGCGACCCCGTCGTACAAAAAAGAACCATGTGGAAAACTTCCCATTCGCATCGAGCGACGACCTGCATAGGCAGACCAGCGGCCCCACTGCGCAAGCATGAACCAATGGGCGAACGCTTGCCAGCAACCTCGCGATGGCCGGCCCTTCGCGCGTGAGTTAGTTGGAGCCCGTGTCTTGCCCTCCGCTGGCGTCTCCGCGCGCGAAAAGAGGGTCGCCGTCGACCCCGTGGCCCACGCGGCCCTGCGCCAGCGCATCAATCCGAGGGAAGCGAGGGCGCGGCTACCCGCACCCGTGGCAGCAGCCCGCGCAACCAAAACGCCTCAACAGCGGTGACCTGCACCAGCGCCTGGCTCGCATGCTCGTTGCTGAGCTCGCAGGTCTTGGACCCCTGGTTCATCCCGCACTGCCAGCCTCTGTGAAGGGCCGTCTCGCCTTGTCTTGGCCAGCCTCTCCTCGACGTCCTGCTGGCGCTTATGGACGGTGCGGAACCACTCCTGGATCTCCATCTCTTTGCCCAGAAGGCTATATGAACCATTCCTGGATCTCCCCCCATTTGCCCACAAGGATATATCTGGCTGTCTGAACTGGTCGCGCAGCCCTGCGATCGCCTTCTTCTTTTCCTCGGTCGCCTCCAAGCCGTCGGGGTTGACAGAAAAGCTCGCGTCACACTGCGCGCGGATCAATTTCTCATCCTTCAGCCCGTCGCCCTCGCCCTTCGCAGTGCTGACCTGCACTCCCTCCGCCCTAGCGACGGCCTGGACCGCGTACAAGTTGATCGTTGCCGCTTCTGCTAAGGCGCGTGCTGCCATCTGCTCATTCCCCTCCGCAGCCGCAAGGTTGCTACCAAGGCGGACGACATTAGCCACCGCTTGTTGGTGCCTGTGTTTAGCATCTCGCCACGCCCCCTCGGCGCGCCAAAACTCCTCTGACACGCTCACCTTTTGTTCGCACGTGGAGGTCTTCTCGCCCAGCTTGCACAGCTGAGCTTGGAGGTCCGCCTGGGGCTTAGGATCCTTTGTATCCGCCGCCGCCTGCTGCAGGAGTTCCTGGACGGACGCGCCCTTGCCTTTTGCCACGCTTGCCACCAAGAGGCGAAGCGCGGTCACCGCGTGGCTGACGAAGGATGTCTGCTGGGAGCGGTTTGCGTATTCCCTCAGACTCGCTGCCGATGTCCGTATCGAACCACACGTCGTCCGTGCCAACCTCCTGGCCACTGAAATTGGCGCGGTCCTCAGGACGAAACAGTTCAACTTTGGATCCACACCCACTGCAGGCCATATTACGTCTGCGTAGAATATGGTTCCAGTCGAATGTGTGGCAGCGCGAGCACGTGCCCCAAAGACTTGCCATTGCTGACGACCCTCGTGCCTCCTATGTGCTAGTCGGTGTTATTGCAAGCCTGGCTGGAAGAAAAAACAGAACAAAGTCCGTCAAGCGCTGCCCGCAAGCACAGAAGAATGTGGCAGGGAGGAGGGGCAGCAGCGCCTCGTTCGGCCCATGCTTCCCTGTCCGCCATGCTTCTTTGCGTGCTGATCGTCAGACGCCTCTCGGCCTCTTTCCACTCCCGTCCTGGTCATGCTCCTCGTTGCACGCGGGAGAAATGATCCTGCGCAAACATTATCCTGACATATTAGAGCCACACACACACCTGTCGTCGATGTTCCTGCGCTCCACCTGCCCCACAGTCGCCCTGAGAACGTGTTCCATAATCCTCCCCATCCTCCCTTCCTTAGGGGAACGAACAACAACTTAAAACATAATAACTCGGATGTCCGCGCGGATTTCTCGGATCGGCGCTGGACCTCCCTAGCGGCGCCTCCAGCGCCTCCCCTGGCGCGCTCCGCGCGCCAAGAAGTGGGGTCCAGCGCCGATCTGAGAAATCCGCACGGACCTCCGAGTCTTTATGTTTATTACCAGCCTGGAACGTATCCCTATCCCTAAGATTGGCACGCCAAAAGGCGATGACAATCTTAGGGATCCGCCCTCAAAAAATAAGGGTAAGGGAACCCCCAAGATTGGCATCGTGATGAGGTGCCCAGCATAGGGATAGGGATATGTTCCAGGCTGGTACGTTTATGTGATTCTTCGCTTCCCTTAAAACATCCCCCCTTCCTCCCCGTGCTGTGAGGCGTCCTGAGCTTGAGACCACCCGTGTTTCCAGAGCTCCTGTTTTCGAGGGCCCCCCGACCTACGAGTCCAGGATGGCTGCCCTCGCCGAGAGAATTCGTCTGAAAGAGCAAGCTGCTTCAGGTTCGTTTGTCTTCAGGCCTGGAAAAGTCGCCGAACGTTGTGCATTGATGTGCACGCGGCAGGGCCCTGAGCTGCTGGCGTGATCAAGTTGAACCACTATCCTCTTAGAGTTTCAGCATTCAGCATCCGCTTCGCGCTCCTTGTCGCGCAGCAGTCGATCCGCAGCCGCTCGCGGGCACAGGGCGGGCCTGGCCACGGTGCCACTGTTCTATGGCGCTGTCGTTGGAGCAAGACTGGAGCGCAGCTACGCTCAAGTAAGTCGGGCATGTCCCTCTGCAGGAGGAATATTCAAAAATAGTAAATAAATAGTCTGGGGGCGATTTGTCCACCATTCTTGACTATGGGGGATCTGTTTTCGCTACTTTTTACTTGTCGTCCAAAATCCGCCTGTAGGAGGGCATGCCCGACCCAAAGCTACGTTTCTTTGGTCCTTCCTCTCCAAGGGGGGTCCTCAGAACATCGGGCTCCAAGTAGATGAGCTGCAATCCGCCTGTCTGCTGCGATGCCCCTTTGCAGACCGTGCAGATGCGACTTGTGTGCAACCCCAGCTTGCAAGCGGCCTCGTTGACTGAAGCATACACTGTCGGTGGCGCGCTCCGGCTTGACGTCCACAGAACTCGTTTCGACGATGCACGCGAGCACAGCCGTCCAGGGGTCTGCTGATAGGAAAGCAGAAGCCTTTGGGAAGGTTAGATGCTCATTCTGGGGACCTTCCTGCAGCCACTCGCTTCACTCGTGCGTCGAAGCTGCGTCGAACCTGAGTCGAACATGAGTCGAACCTGAGTCGAACCTGAGTCGAACCTGAGTCGAACCTGAGTCGAACCTGAGTCGAACAGATCCATTAGGTGGCCCCCAGGAAGGTCCCCAAAACGAGCATCGAAGGAAGGTGTCACATCTTCTAGATTGATGACGCGGTTGCTCGAAGGGTCTCCGTCTTCATGGAGCGCACGGCAGCAAACGGGGGACGGCGGCGGTCCAACAAAAAGCACGAGCGACAAGCCGGTGCACAGGTATCAAGGGGCCCAGGGACACACAAATAAATACACACACACATCCCAGGATTCCCTATATTTTGTCGTATGGTCTGGGTTTCTGTCTTCCCCCCCCCCCACTTCCCATAGTTCCGCATATCTTCCTGGGAATCGACGATGGATTGTGTCTGTGTGCGTTTTCCCTCCTGAAGGTAATATCCGGCACTGGCCAGGCCAACTCAAACATAGGCTCACAGCTCGGTAACCATGTGAGGACAAGCTTCCCCGAGACACGTCTGCCTCTTCGACCTCACGCGCCCAACTGAGCTAGCTCAGTGCCCAAACACCAAAAGCCAACGCTGTTCGAGGATCAAGCGCACCGTGCCAACACTCCGACGCTTCCATCATAGACGGGTACACGAACCAGCTGTTCGAGTCTGATCGTCTGCCTGACGCTGGCTTCGAATTTCTTATCCATCACGGATTGCTCGGGAACGAAAGTCTCCATTCTGATCAGGGGTCACACACTCAAGAGTATCCACGCAAGCGTTGCTTGGATCCCCACCTTTACGACTCACATAACATTGCTGAATCGACGGTGGCGGGCCCAAGAGCAGTCATGCAACAACACGGTGAACAAGCTTTGGGGAGCACCCGATGCCTGTGACGTAGTAGCCAGAATTTATCTTGCAACCCCAACGAATACTTATGCGTTTTGTTTTCAGCCGATCATGCGAACTGTTTTCCATCGATCGCAATGCCGTCCATGTGCTTCCCTGCGCGAAGCATCCACGTACGACATCACGAATGACCTTGCCACTGATGAACTTGCAGCAGAAGCATGATGGCCACGCTGATGACGTAACATTGCTTGCCCCTGGTCAAATGATTGAGTCAAAGCGGCTTGAGTCAAAGGGGGCGGAACCGGAAGGGCTTGAAGTCGGGCCTAGGCCAGAAGAACATCCCTCAAGAACATGAGACCCTCCGTCGGCCAAAACAAACAGAACATCCAAAGGTACCCTCCTCAGGATGTATAAAAACATCCGACAAACACGGAGAACACCAGGGCGCCCTGCCCGAACCGACCTCGGCACAATCTGAACTCCAGCCTCGATGCTAGTTACCATGCCAGGCCCTCCATCGTGATCGCCTCCTCCTACTCCTTCGCCTACTCGTGCCGCGTTTTGACATTGGCCAAAAGTCAAGACTGCGGTTGCTGCATTATGTAAGACATTGAAGACCCCGACTTAGGCGGAGTGGCGAGCAAGTGATGCCGCGGACCACGCCTGCCACGGCGTCTCCTCCCCTGCACGCGCTGCCGCCATACCCTCTCGATCATCATCCGCTCTCTCCTGCTGCTGCTGCTGCTGCTGCTGCTGCTGCTGCTGCTGCTGCTCACTGCGGACTTGGTCGTAGACCTGAAGCCGTCCCCAGCCCTGCCCCGAAAAGTATGAAGGGACGCGCCCTCTCCTCCATTTCCTCCTGCGCCGTAACACACGATATGCAACCGAAGGACTACGACACAAATCGGGCAAAGACATATATATATATATATATATATATATATGTATATATATATACGAATACATGTTTCTCGTCTGGGTGTCGCTGGCTGCGGCCTGGCGAGACCCGGGGTATGCTTTGACCGTCCACTTCCCACTGGGGCGCTGCGACCCCCCCCCAGACATCTTGCAGTCGCTTGGCCCCATTCTGATGCCCAGGGCGGACACGTCGCACACGCTCGACCAGAGTGCCCACGTCGATCGATTACATCGTGATATGCCCGTTCCAGCAAGCTGGCTCTTGAAAGGTGATGCCCAGTGACCAGCACCTCCCGTGACGTCATCCTCACCTTTCGAGCTTACCTCCGACCACCTCGGGGCGAGGCGAGGGGGGCGTCACAGCAGGAGACGGGTTTGCTACAAGCCCCCCCGTTTTAACCTGACGCCAGTGATGGCCAATTTCCCACCACCACTAGCAATAGATAGGAGAGGAGGGAGAAGGAGGAGGAGGAGGAGGAGGAGGAGGATGGATCACCCAGGCAGCGAACAGAAAGGAGCCCTACACACGCGAAGACCTGGCGGCCCGATGCCGCGGCCTGCGCGGGCCGCTCCGCGCGGCACGCCGAGCGGAGGAGCGAGCCTCACGCGCGGCCTCACGCAAGAAGCCTGCTCGTGAGTGTCGGCGCCATCGACGCCATTTGGGATGCACAGAGACATACTAATACTATGTGTCCGCCTTGGAGGCGCGCGTCCGACCCGAACATATGGTATACCCATCTTGTAGTATATCGTTTCCCGAGCGGTGTGGCCAGAAAGCGCACGCCGCGACGC